TAAACCCTAAACCCTATCCCCAAAATTGAAGTCCCCCCATCTACACCACAAACTCGGTGCTCGCAGCCGAGGGGCTGGGACTTCCACGAGGGCCCTGCCTCAAAAAAGGATTTCATACCCGATGAAATGGAAACCCTAGGTCCCTNNNTATAGGGGTATATTGGGGTTATAGGGGTTATAGGGGTTTGGGGGTTGAGAGTTTAGGGTTAAAGGTTTAGGGTTTGGGGTTTAAGATTAAGGGTTTAGGGTTTCAGGGTTGAGGATTTACGGGTAGGTTAAATTACAAGATGGAAAAAACATGGAAGATACCATATCATGTTGGGTTTAGGGTTTAGGGTTAGGAGAATTTAGTACTACGCTGGAAGGAAGATATTTTGCACCACGGAGGACCCTTCTATAGTGCACTGCAATTCTTCGGGTATGAGGTATAGGGTGGCAACAGTCCCCAAATCTTGTACTTGTAGCTGCACTATATCCATACTAAATGCCGCAAACTCACACGACCAGTATGGGGTGGGAGCAGTATTGGCTGGCAAGCTTCAAGATGCTACAAAGGAGTAGGCTGGAACGCTCAGACAAGCACGAAGATAATCTTGTAGAAAGCGTTCTTAACCTGTAGCAAGGACGTTGGTGGGGAAGTAGTCATGCTTTAGATTGATGACAGATCCCTGAGAGATTGAGCAGAGGCCAACAGAACCCTCGCCAGCCCCTGAGTGCCGCATAACGACAATATCTTCAACAAAGAGACAGTAAACCATAAACCCTACCCTATATAACGCCTATGTAGCCCATTATATAGTAGTTTCCATTTTCTTTTCCATTATCCCTATATAGCCCCAAAATATAAACTGTTATACAATCATGAAAAGACTCCTAACATGCCCTGAAACACAAAAATTCTGGAGGTGACCCACGGTAGTCCCATGACAAAGGGGCTTTACTGGAACCCCAAACAGGGAACCCCAAGAATATAGTAGGAATATAACAGGAATATACCTATCAGAGTCCCTATATGCTAATATATTCCTACTTTATTCTTGGGGTTCCCTGTTCGGGGTTCCCAGTAAAGTCCCTTTACATGACCCTTGATCTTCGAGGAGCAGGCGGTAAAGGCCGTCTTCTGGATGGTCCGGGTCAAAGCCCTCGATGTTGTTGCATGTCTCAATCGCTTTCCTGCTTGCCGCCGCTTCTCCATATACATATATATATATCCATATAGATATATATAATGTGTATCCATATGTATACATATACATATATATATATATATGTATATGTGTGTATATATATGTAGCCCCTGTAAGTATACTCCTATATTGCCCCTATATCCCCTTTAAAGCCCGTACTTGTAGGGCCTTCACTTCGAGGGTTCGAACGGGGGGCAAGGTGGGGTGCCAGGCCAAGCTTAGACGTTGAACACATGTCGCTCATGTAGCCGTTTCCCAAAATTAGGGGTACCTTTACAGGGGTTTCTATGGGTTGTATAGAATGGAAAAGAACATGGAAGCTAATTACTATTTAGGGTTTAGAGTAGCTGATGTGTCAGTTTCCAAAAATTAGGAGTACCTTTAAAGGGAGTATAGGGGTTATATAGAGGTGTATATATATATATACATATACATGTTTTTTAGTGTATAGGGTTTCTCAAAATTAGGGGTACCTTTTTGAGGATCCCCATAATAAGGATAATAATATATCGGGGTCTATTTTGGGGTCCCCCCATTTTTGGAAACTACCGTGTAGCTGCACCTACAGAAACATCATAAATCACAACTTAATTTGCCCACAAAACTTGAAAAGCCATTCCGCTCAGACATGCTACCTGGAGACATCTCCAACAGGCCAGATCAGAATGGTCCCTGGCGCGGCGAAAGCACTTTGGAGCTCTACGCAGTGGGCTTCACAAGCATGACACGGCGCCAAGCCACGTTCTGCAGTCGTGTGATTGCATGGCTGCGCCACCAACCAAAAAACATGAGTAGCACTAGCATAAGCTCATGAAAATTCCCGAAAGCCCAACTGGCAGCCCTAGACTCACTGCATGAGAGGCAGTTGGCAGCTGCAACTCACATGATCCTAACTCTCGTCTCCCCATTACTGCGCAAACTAGTCGGCATCGCCGTGCAGCTGGTCCTGGAGCAGAAGGCTCTGAGACTCTGGGGTCACTGGCTTTTCCGAATCGTAGGGGTGCCCTTTTGATGTGCAATAGCCGGTGCCAGAAGGTAGATCGCCTGCAAGAAGTCTTTCCTGCTCCCCGTCGCTCTGCACTGCGAAGGGATAGAATGCTCGATCCTGCAACAGACAGATTGCGTTCAAATCGTATCGGCCGAGTGAATCTGGATCAGACATTCTAGAAGTCCATACTTCCCAAGCTAGACTCAGAAAGCGCAACTGGTGCGCACCAGACCGGCTGACACCTGTACTTCAAGACACCAGGTCATGGCAGTCTTACTGGGTCTCAGTAGTTAATAAGGGAACATCATCCCTATATAAGCCCTATTAGACGAATTCCCATATTCCCTACCAACCCCCGGGAAGCAGCAGCTCATCGAGAGCCTCCTGAAGGAGCTTGAAGCCTACCACGGAGGTAAGAAGCCAGGCGGCACCTGCTAGGTGAGCTCAAGGGGATGCTTCTGCCACTGCTCCAAATTTCGTGGTCCCCCTTCCTGGACCCTAAGGGTCCAAGGACCCGAATGTTAGGGCTTTAGGTGCCAAATACCAAGCAGATTATAGCGTTCGAACCCTAAACCCCCATTGTTTGAGTGCTTGGACTTTTATGGAGAGGTTCAGGGGTAGTTAGTAGTAGGAGTTTAAGTACCCCAAAAGGTGCTATAACTAGAGCCCAGTCATGTTCAAGCCCAGAGTTAATTGTAAAGCCATGCCGCGAATTTTTATGGCTGCCTGGAGATTGTCAAGTCGCTAATTGGGTCTATTTCCAACAGACCTGGGAAAATCTTGTTGGCCAACTTCACGCGCCTCCCACAAACTTCAGAAATGCCTGTAAACATCAGCTGTGTGGGAGCATGCAACCATGTTTATGACTTACAGGGAGTTCGGAAGAGGAGCGCCACGAGCGACTCAAAGCTTCCGCTATCATAACCCGGAGTCCTGAAGGTCCAACGCTCCGACAACTGATAATCATATAGGCCATTGTCTAAACTCCTAGTATCCCCCTTAAGAACGCCTATAGTAGTCCCCTATATAATCCCATATATAACCCCCCATAAGGGAGTTTATAATAATCCCAGTTTCCATTTCATTTCCAGTGGATGCTCCACTATAGTAGTTTCCATTTTATTTTCCATTATCCCCATATATCCCCAATATAACCCCATCATATGCCACCCGAAAGCCTATAGCACCGCTGGTGGTCGCAAGTAGCCAGCTATTCGGTAATTGGTCCATCTGGGTATTCAAACACTGAGAGCGGTCTCGTTGGGACCCAAGGCGCAGGAAAATCGATCCTGGTTTCAGGGAAATTTCATCCCAGACCCCTTTGGTTGACCACTAGGCTGCAGTCTTGGGCACTTCTAAGCGGTTATATCTACGTGCATTGGGATTCAAACAGGGTTCCATCATTCCTCCCTATCCACAAAGGTGTAGGTAATTGTAGGTAATTCGGGCTACAGGTAAAGTCTCATAGCAACCTATCCGAGACTTCGTTTCCAGCAGAAGTCGCAAATGCTCCAGCCTGTCCGCTGGATGACGCCCCAGTGGTCGCCAGAATCCGCGAAGTCCCCGCCTGCCAGTTGCGGTCAGAAGCTGAAAGGCAAATCTTGCCCAAATCACCAGGCTTGCATGACAGGCCAGATGCAGTGCAAATATGGCACTCACTACAAAGCCCCTGCGTGACTGCGACTCTTACCTGGAATGCTGCAAAGTTGACTCAGCGCTAGGTGAGGTCTAGCACAATGCGAGGACTAGCATGACGCGATCACTTGCTGAGGAAGCCGCGAAGCGTGCCATAGGCAAAAACAGCGTGGACCACATCCTGCTGGCTGTTCTAGAACAATCTTAGAACCATGACGCAAGAGATACTGTCAACTGCAGCTGATGTCGGGTCCTTCCTCTATCTTCCTCCGGCCGCTCCGGACATGCTTGTCCCTTCTACAACATCGACACACTCTGTGTGTGTGCTTGTGTTTCCTGTCTTCATGTTGGCTGTCTGTTAGCTACACAGCTTGACCTGGACAGTACATAAACCCTAAATAATACTTTTCATTTCTTTTCCATTATGCCAATATAACCCCCATGTACTTCATAACCCCTATATTACCCCTATATACACTCTATAGTAGGAACCACTAGAATCACTATGATATACTATAATATGCTATATCATACTATATTATAGCATAATATACCATAATATATCTTGGGTCATTCCCCTTTACAGTAACTGTTACCACAATGGGTTATAGGAGTTATAAGAACCCCCTTCATAAGGCCCCTTTAAGGACGGTTACTGGGAGGGGGAATGACCCAAAATATATCGTACTTTCCCAAAATAAGGGGACCCCAATATAGACCCCAAAATACTATAATCCTTAGTATTGGGACCCCTAGAAAGGTACCCCTAATTTTGGGAAACCCCTATACCATAGAAGCTCGAAGATTGCCCTTCGTCCTTGGGGGACTCCCTCACAGCAGGCTCCGCCTCAGCGGCAAAATCAAGCCAAGACTTCCGCAGTCGCCGTAGTTGTGGTCAAAAACCTATATAACCCATATATATATATATATATACCCCTATAGTCCCTATATAACTTATATAACCCATTATAGTAGTTTCCATCATCCCCATATAACCCCAATATAGTGAAAAAATTGGGGGTACCCATTGGGGTAATGTTATGGTTATCATGGAGAATGAGGAAATGGAAAATGGAAACTGGGATTATAGGGTTTCTAGCGGGTGCAAAGGCAGTCGCATGGGTGATAATAATTATGGTTGCAGTATTGAACCTTGCGGGGTAGGAGTGGGAGTAATCACGTGTGGCCTTAGGCGCAGCCTTCGGCACAGCCGCCCTCTTTGGGACCTTGCAGGCGACAGGTTGGCGCTTTGATTGCAGGGGTCTAGTTTGGCGTCTTTGGCATCTTGGCAGGCTATGTCGATGCTCGCTAATCAGATTGACTGGTCTTTGGAAAGGATAAAGGGGAAGAACGGAGACATCATGAACTTGGCACTCCAAGTCGGATGGAGGCTCTGCTGCTAGCACGGCCGCGCTTGAGCTTTCAATGATCCGGGCTGTTCGTTCTCGATGGGTCGACATGCTTGGCACATGCTGCTTGGGGTCCGCGCTTTTTGGACTTGGCCACGTCATCTCTAACAACATGAAATGCACAACTGACTGACTACCTGACGGCTATCCAACACAGTCCCTGAATTAGGCCAGACCGCCTCTCCAAGGGCAGTTTGCAATGTCCCGGCACAGCATCCTTATCCTAAAGTCCCTGTATGGCATCTGAGCCCCTATGCCTACGCCAGACATCCTGCAATAAATGTTGGGTGGCGAAAGCCAACCTGTAGCCACCCGTTAAGTAGATGGAATGTGGGATTGCCCCATATCACAATAAGATACTCGTATACCCCATTTTCGATCTACCCAACGCGGACTACAAACCTCAGACCCCAATGCCTAAACCCTAGTTAATCCCTAAGTCCTGAACACAAATACCTACATCATAAACTACTTAGGGGTGGACTATGCTCCTTTCCAAATTTCACCAACAAGATGCAGCTCCGGCGCGCGCTGCCATGAACAGTCCCGGGCTTGAAGAAGCTAAGTGGAGGGGTTCCTAAAATAGGGGTATCCTTTTGGGGATCCCCACAATATCAAAGATAATAACGTATTGGGGTCTATATAATGGTCCCCGGATTGACGATCTACCAATTCTGACTTCGCGGTGGTGATGTTCAGAAGCCAGTCCAAGTAGATTGACCGCACTGCTGTTCAGGTTGCAGGCGTTTGAAGGAAAATTTATTCATTGCGTAACACACTACACAGGCAGCATTAACGGAGCCCAATGGTGTTGGAAAGTATCATGCGGCGCATGTCTCTGTACTCTTCCCAGTAGGGGCTCATCTAATCCGTGTGCATACGGGCACCCTCGTAGGGTGCAGCCAGCTGCTATTTACAGCTACTCAAAACCGTGTTCCCGCCCACATTTGATCCGAAAGCGGCCAAGAAAGACGACCGAACTTGCTCCCAGCAAAGCTGGATCTCGCGTGCACCAGCAAGTCATGTGACGGTAGCAATTTTGGGAATGTCAGAGGTTCCTACATGCTGCTCTACAACATGATAACTGTACTTGTGTCTCTACTTTCTCAGTGCCGGAGCGTGCAGCCGGGCCAAGGCGGATGCGCAGCGATTACGATAACATCATCCTTTTCCCCAAATAGGTCTATGCATAGTAAGTAATGGCCAGGTAGACTGCCACAGCCTGAAATATGAGCCTTTTGATAACATCATATCATCAGGGCGCGATTCCTTCAACGAGCATTATTGGATGCTGCGTTGATGTTGTAGTTTCACCGGCGAGCCTCACAGGGAGCGCTGCCCAGGAAGAGTGAAGCGTTGCCCGCTGCGCAGCGCTCGTCTGCACTTGCAGAATCGCGAGGCTCTCCTTCTCGCCAAAAAACCCAAAAAACCTGCAGGATGAACTGTTGAGATCTAGAAGCCGCAAAGCGGGTTAAGCTAGATGACAGCGTTGTGGTACTCAAGGCTTATTGCAACTTGACTTGCAAGAACCTCAGGTGTTTGGCGGAAAGTGGCGAAAGTGCAACTACATCAACCAGGCAGTGGTCACCTAGATCATGAGCACAAAAGCTCCAACTGCTTCAATACAAGATCGCCTGCGAGGCATTCTGGCCACTCGACCATTTCCAGAGACCCTCCTCCTCAAGGTCCGTGAGACCCGTCCAGATAAGGAGACTCTGCTCAGTGGGCACATCAGGATACCTTACAGGTCACATTGCCAAAGCGAGTTCAAGCTAAGCCTTTCCCTCTGGCACTGCACCTAACTCTTGCGTTGTGTCTAGGTCTTCATGTTGCGGAACCCAAAAGAGCGAGCTATTGGAGACCAGGAAAGCCAAAGCCCACAAAAGCGCCTGACACAACTCACAAGCCAAAGTAACAGTGCGTGCACCGCATACACCATCTCATCTTGCCGGGCAGACATCAGGTGCCCGCCGGCAACCATCAAAGAGCACTGCCGCTCAGCTTCAGCCCAGCTTTCCTTGGGGTTTAGGGTTTGGGGGTTTAGGGTTTTGGGTTGTGGGGTTTTGGGTTTAGGGTTTTGGGGTTTTGGGGTTTAGGGTATAGGGGAGAAGTAAGAGCTCATCAGCTGAGAGGAGTTTGTTTGAGAGGTATCAAAGAGCAGCTTGTTTCTGTTGTCCTGAACTAGGGTCTACAGTGTTTAGGGTTTAGGGGTTTGGCGTCTCAGCCATCACCGCCAGGCAACGCGGAGATGGTCGCAAGGAGGGGCGGCATAGCACCAGGCTCCGACGCGACCCCAGTTCTGAGGACACACAGCCGAACCGTGGAAGTTGGCAGACGCCAGGCCCCTCAGCTGCTAAGAAAAGTGTGGATGACAAATTGTTACTGTGATTGCTACTGTTTCTACTGTTGCTATGTTTACGGTTCTTACCATGATTATAGCTATTACTCTTATTACTACTATTGCAATTATTACTCTCGTTACTCTCATTCTCTTATTACGATTATTGCTAGTACTACTGAAATTCCTGTTACTACTGAGATTACTGTTATGACTATAATCACTATTACAACTATTGCTCTCAATATTTCTACTACTACGCTATGATTAGAAGCACTATTACCATTACGTTAATATGATTACTATTATTGGTACTATGCTGATCTATGCTGATGGTTGGGGTGCAGGAGAACAAGCATCAATTTCTGTACGGGGCTGCAAATGTGTGCTTTCCACCTCCGCTCGTCCACTTCTGCTTTAGCCATGCTCATATGAGCTATAAACTAAAATTCCTACAGTAGTATCCCCCTGCATAATCCTTAGAATACTCCCCGATATGATCCCTCATATAACCCCCTTTTAAGGAGTTTAGACCATAGCTCATTAGGTTCATGAAGTTCTTGTGGCACAGCTAACCATTTGAGCATTCATCACTGGTTCCCTCAATCGTTCCTGTCTCAGGTGATTCCAGTCCACTGCTGCGGATCAAGCATTGGGGCTTATAGTCCCCCTTAAATAGATAGAATATGGAATTGGCCTATATCATAGTAAGACCCCCATATGTTCCATATTCTATCTACTTAAGGGGGACTATGTAGGGCTTAGGGTTTGCGGTTTAGGCATTGCTCGAAGTTCCATCCCAACTTCCCCCCGGTCACCAGGCCGAATGGCCATTCATGTATTACTGAGTAGCGTTCTTTTGGTGGTTGTACCCCAAAAGGAGGAATAATCTTACTCTATATTGGGTAATCATAGTATCCCCCAGAAATACCACCCTCATGAGCCGACACAAATGGAGTACAGATCTCAGATGACAGGAGGTGCACCAGGAACGAAACGGATCATGAGTCTGCTGAGTGTATGCTTGTGCTCCGCGGTGTTCACTGAAGTGATTTTCTCGCTGAAACACACAGACATTGGCAGTTAAGCCTGTGCGTCGTATCATTCATCTGTTGGAGCCTGTGTCTGAAGTAGAAGTTTCAGATTGGGGCGCTGCCCTTGAGAACATGATCCCCTGGCTAAGCAGGTTGATGAAGCGGGTCCTGGCTGCAAAGCCTGAAGCCTTAAAGAGGCTTAGGGAGTTGGAAGCTCCAAGGCGTGGAGCGCAGCTCCTTCTGTGGACAATCGCAATGTCTTAACCTTGTGGGGCTTTCACTCCATCTGGGAACAAGCTCGGACTTGGATCATCTGCCCAAATACTGAAACCCTGAGTCTAGGAACACCCAAGCACGATTCGGGGACGCGCCCATTTCTAAGATGCTCATATTGGCCAGGCATCGTCGGCGCCAGTGTCAAGAACAGCACGTGCTGCCGCACCATGGCGTCCCATGGATGGTCACCGGTACAGATCGTGGGCCCCTTGTATGGGCTCTTTATCTTAAGGCATCTTAACCCTAAAACCCTAAATCCCTAAACCCATGTTTTACCAGGTTTCTTGGAAGTTCCGCTCTGCCGGTCCCTTGTAACTTCCCCAAACAGGTCTCATGAAGTACTGGGGGTCATTTAGGGTTTAGGGGGTTTAGGGTTTAGGGGTGTAACCTGCCACAACAGGACCTCACCAACCTGTTTGATGCCCTTCTGCCAAGTGCTAAGACTTTCTAAACGCAACATGCCATACAGCACGAGATGTGGAAGTTTCCTTAGATAGGGGAACCCCAATATAGATCCAAAGATACCTAAGCCTTTTTATAGTTTGACCCCCAAAGAAGTACCTGTAATTTTGGGAAACCCTCATATTCTTTCAGACCCTGCACCCTCAGCATCTGACACTTGATCGCGAACCTTGTCGCCAAACGCTGCCCATTTAAGCTACAGTCTCAATTCCTTAAAGGGGGCTTAGATGGGGGAAGTATTGTAGGGGTTATTCAGTGGGATACTAGGAGTTTAGCCTGGAGTTTAGCCTGGCCATTCCACGGTCCTCCAAGCTTGATACCACTTCAGCGTTCCTTGGAAATAAGGCATCCAAAGCCCATAAGCTTTGAACCCGCTTCAAAGACTTAGGGTTGCCCGGCAAGGATTGGTTGCTATGGTCACAAATAGCCAATATCTCGGAACCTCATGCTCGTACAGTCCCTGTCGCAAAGCTTTTCACTGGAATGTACACGTTGTCTACAAGTCTTCTTGCTCTGGTCTTGCATGGGGGCGCAAGATTTGTGTTTATGTAACTTTGCAATGGGTGCCGGAGTCAGCAATGAGGTTCTAAACCCTCAAAACTGAGTAGTAGCTTCCATTTTCTCTTCCGTTACTCCTATACCTCCTGTTTCTCTTTTCCATTCCTCTTATATTATATAACCCTACTACATACCCCTTTGTAGCACAGTTGTTCTTTTCCATTTCTCTTATATAACCCTAGTAGATCCCCCTTTTCATCCGCGCATATCCCTATCAACCTGAGCCAGCAACTTTTGGGTCTCACAGCGCAGCTGTCACAGGGTGCAGCGTGGTCAGATTAACTTTGCGCCTTTGGCGTAGCAACCAGCTTACAGCGGAAAAACACTTGGGTTGGGTACTGCTCCCACCCAGCAACAGTTGGAGAAAAAAATCGAATACACTTTTGTAGAGCCCTTTAGTACTACCCCCATTATAGGCTGTTCCTGAGTGGGGGCAGTACCCAACACTTGGGTCATAGAGGTTCTCGAAGGGACCAAGCTGTGTCCTTGCTGAAGGCGGCTGCAGAAAGCTTGAAGCTCGCTACAATACGTAGGAGATCCCTAAACCCTAAGCCCTACCCAAGGGCTCCTATGTAGTTCCTTTTTGGATCTGTTAGGGTTTTTTGGTAAGGGATTATAATATACTACCCCAAAAAAAACTACATTGGAGGGTCTGGGTAGACCCTAAACCCTAAGCCGTAAAATCTGGACCGTAAACCCCAAACCCTAAACCCAAAGCATACATGACAGCTCTCACGTCAGAGCCCTAGGTCCAACATAACAAAGCCTGAGTCCTATTCGAAACCATTTGACGCGGGCAAAGTCTTTGGGAAACCGTTTATGATGCATAGCACTTTATCTTACTGGGAGTTAGTAGGGAATAAAGGAATA